CCTTACTAACATCATCTGCCCAATCATTGCTCACTTTCACTTACTCCCCCTTTCCTGGAGTTTTTCGGATGTATTTTGAGGGTTTTTGTCCTCGGCACCGTTCACTTCGGCGGAGGCCCTGCGCATCGCGGGTGCGCTTCATTCATTCCGTCCGCCAACTGTTTGCCTATCGTTTCCCACAATTTCCGCTCTCCGGGATCTTCTGGAACCGAATTGCGAATTTTTGAAAGTTCTGTAGCGAGCACCGCCTACTATAGCACGGCCTCGCGACATCACGGGTGTGTTACTCTCCTCATTTTATCTTTGCCAAATGGACCTGCTTTATCGTTTCCCACAATTTCAACTCTCCGGGATCTTCTAGAACCGAACTACGAATTTTTGAAAGTTCTGTAGCGAGCACCGCCCACCTATAGCACGCCCCGTCCATCACGGGTGTGACTCCCTCATTTCATCCGCCAACTGACTGCTTATCCTTACCCACAATTTCCGCTCTCCGGGATCTTCTAGAACCGGACTACGAATTTTTGAAATATGTAGCTCACAACTGTGCGCACGCCCCGCCCACAGTGGGCGGGCTTAGCTCGGTTCACGTGGAAACCTTCTCACAGGGACCCACTTCACACCCGGAAGGAGGATCGGCCGGCGAAGCCGGCCGATCCGACTGGCCCTCCCTCTCATGGAAAACTTCTCACCGGGACCCACTTCACACCCGGAAGGAGGATCGGCCGGCGAAGCCGGCCGATCCGACTGGTAAAAAATATCCTGCCATCAAGTCATTTACTTTAACAAGTCCCATTTCTACGAGGCTGATTTACGATAAAACTGAGAAGACATAACAACCCGTTAGAACTCCTATGAGTGTAAAACGACTACTTAGAGGTTAGTACTGAGAATAAAACATTTCCACTAACACTAAGAAAAGAGCCTTATCTCTGTTCGTACACCTGAGACTTAATTTTCTACCACACTAACTGCTCCCAGGTGCGGATCAGGAAAATCGGATAAGGCGGCGTGACGAAAATCATAAGCGCAAAACATGTAATACAGGCATGTCCTGGACCAAAGTCCTTGCTCTCGGATATCATTATGGTCGATTTTTAGGTCGAGCTGGAGATAAACGGCGACCTATTCTGCCTGGTCCAAGAATTCGCTCTTCTATCACCGGGTCCGGATAGTAAGGCGTCCGACTTTTTGCTGATACGATCTGAAACAGATATTCTCGGATACAGACACCTTTATATGGGATTGACATCAGCTTCACTTGGCCTGCGTTCATATTAGGTTGGCGGGAAAGTTCTGTCACTTTTTTCAAATTGGGCTTTCTTTTTATAGAGGCGTGTAAGATCAAAATTGTACAGCAATGTTACTGCGGGGTCCTTGCCTTTTTGAGCACCTCATGGATGCCATCGCTTCACAATGCAGGGAGGCGCGATACAAAGTTGGACATCATCTCAATCTTGGCTTGAACTCAGACTTTTCGAGGTTTTCTCGTAATTTCTCGTCCAGTAATGATTGATTACGGGAGGCAACTCGCAGTTAGAAGGAGCAATGTCTGTGCTACACCACTGCAAGGGGAGAGCCATCCAGCTCTATTGCATGAGGAACGGCTAGAACTTTTTTGGAAGTGCGCTGCACTATCAGAAGCATTTGGAGGGGTCGGTGGCGATGGTAGCGGATAACATTCTTGTATGTTGCAGAAGAAGAAGAAGAAGCAGGAACCAAACGAGTGGTACTAATAGAAAGACCACTCTTTGATGTATAAGTGCTCACATTACCGTTCAACCCTCTCCAGGTAATGGGCAAGTATTTTGAGCTCGAAAAAGTGACAGAACTTTCCCGCCAACCTAATACTTTGTGGCAGCGTCCACCAGCGACCACTAGCGTTCCGAGCGTCCGGCAGAGTCAGCGACTAAGAAGGTGCAGACATCAATCTAGCGTCTGCCAACGTTTGCCAGCTTCCAGCGTCGGCTAGCGTCCACCAGCGACCGAGAGCAGAGAGTATAGAGCGGTAGGAAAGTAGCCAACAGCTGGATTAGGTGTCATGAAACTGCGGCGTGGGCACCCGCACCGCACAACTACTAAAGCACAGAAATATGCAATTTGATGGACGATGTAGTTGAACAGTGCAGCTGCACACGCCGCAATTTCGCGACGCCTAATCCAGCTGTTTACTACCCTCCTACTTCCTCATACTCTCGCTCTAACGCGAGCGGTCCGCTGGTGAAGGCCGGTGGACGCTAGCAGACCTTAAATCGGTTAGGATACTTCCTTAGTCCCTCTGCGAGCCGGTTGGCAGAACGTTTGACAGAGACCCCTAGGATCGATATCAAATACTTTGCCTAGTCCGCTGACGCTACCGGACGCCCGAACGCTAGTGGTCGCTGGTGGCCGCTATCGCGAAGTGTGAACGCAGCCTTACAGATGTACAAAAAAGTGAGAGGTAAGGGTTCTATGTAGCCATACCATTTAGATCAGTTGAATTATTAATAGAGGAACCGGCATGTTGGTGTATGTGGCGGTATCCCAACTAACAAGGTGAATGCTCATATTGAGAGAAATTGGCATATTCAAAGAAAAGACATTCAAACAACATTTGAAACTCGATTCGAAATGAGCCCAGCAAGAACGGGTATGAGCTAGTTTAGCATTTCCGGAGAAGTCGACTACTAGGAGGAGTTCAGTTTTGCTTCCTGGGGAGGATTTCAACAAAACACATCACGCTGAGCTATTTCTACAAATTGTATTATCGTACCTGTCCACTGGTATACATCACTCGACCTGGATTAACAGGATCTGCCAATTCCGATAAGGAATCCGCCTGAACAAAACAAAATTGAAGAAGTGGCGGTTACTTGTGAAGTGAGATTCTTTTAGAGTAGGAGGTGGGTAAGTTCACAGCCGCAGATGTTCATTACTTTTGTCATGCGAGAAGGAGCAGCAAGCAAGCTAAAGGCCGGTGGTATCTTGATGTTCCCAATGCCTCCGCACGTCATTTGGTACGCGACATTACAGCACACCACACGGCCAGACGTAGCTTGACTATGGCCACACACCCACACTCACAGACACACAACACACACACACACACACACGCACACAGCCTGTCTGGCCACTCTCACTGACCATATAGCACATGGCGAAGCTGTGGTACACGGGAGGCGGTCTTTAGACACGCGCCCGTCGTGGTCCTGAAGATCGAAGTCACGTGCGGCAATCTGCAATACCGCGAACATGCAATGGAGCGCACGCTCGAATGAACTCATTACGTCATTAAATATACTCGAAATCCCTGAGATCGGGTAGGCGTGGCCGCATGTTTCAACTTAACCTGAAGGTGTCTATGCTTCTGGTGAGATATTTTCATCTTGACACAATTGTTGTCGTGTCTCTGTCCAACACAGAACAAGATGACAGTTGTCCCAGACTGGAATATTCCACGAGTAACCAATTCCGTGCCATGTTCAAATGCCACGCCTACTCTGGCTCAGGGATAAGGAGTGTAGATTGCGTTCGCTTCAGTTTTCAGCCACGACCCTCACACTGTCCTGGATTGGAGGTAGGACCTGGATTGTTATGACCGTTAGTTTTTGTTTTATTTGCACAACTAGAGTGATTATGGCAATGGGGGGGGGGCAGAGAAACCTGCACAAATTCTGCTCGCCAGTCAAATTAGCTTACTTGCCGATCCCTGATCATTTGACTATCACGATGCTTTCTGGACAGCATACTTTCCAAGACTGTACTTACTGTCGTTTTCTTAAGGTACGAGGCAATGTCTGAAAAAAAATAGCAGCGCAATACCTCTGGTATGATTGCGAGCGCTCGCCCATGGTAAACATACGGTATTTGCAGTTTTCGCGCGCGACACCGCGTCGCCCTACCGTAACAGAGCCGTGGTGCATGTCGCCTATCAACTAGTGGGCGGACACTTGAAAAATACCAAGCTATCACGAATCCCTAACCTTCTTACCACAAGCACTGTCAACTGGCGAGAATTATCCTTTCAGGTGGCTGCAAACCTGTCTACCCTGTACACGGAAAACCCTCTTTGTGACTTAGAAACAGTACAGATTCAACGCCAAGAAAAAAAAACGAAAAATTCGATACCGAAGCCGCTCAAAAAGGCAGCACTCCATATTTTGACAAAAAGAAAACCCCCATGTCAAGATGGCCGAATAGGTTACACAGAGAGAATAAGCCGGCTTTTTTTTCTCCAAAATCACCTCGCCATCGTCTGCATTCTATAAGACTTCTGGTAACTGACCTGCTCCTTTGTCATGCATGGAATAGTATTTGGTTTGACGACCCCTTCCGGTGCACGATGCAGCTTCTCACAGTGACCTTCCATCAAATGCACTCGCAAATCCGTACAGAAAAACGAGCCAGCTCCACATAATGAACATCGGAGACGCATTACCCGAATATGTGTCACCATATGGCGCCGTCCTTCCTGAAGAAGCTAGTTCTGTAAGACTGGTAATTGACAAAGTATTCCGTGAATTGTATTCATGTTCTACTGATTACCCCAATAGAGCGGAATTGCAATGAATAAGAAAGGAACTGCAGGAAATGGACTTACCTTAAGATTCGGAACTACTTCTTTACACTGCGAGCACACATGCTTTCCATCGGGCTCATTTGGGTCAAGCTGCCTCAGTGATGAGAAAAACTGTTGCTTCTGTGCACCGGAGAGATAAACAGGGACCATTGCCAAATCGCACGGCTTGCCAGGTCTACCATACTTTGACAGAATCTTGACAAAAAAATCAATAAAGATTCACGTTTATCGAAATAAAAGCAGTCAGTACTAGTGACAGAAAGTTTCCGATTAGATTGTAAACAACAAACCGTGACATCGTCCACATCATCATTCACTACATTAAGATTTTGCTTGCGGCGGCTTGAGGGGCTGTACGATGGATCAGACGGACTCCAGTTGTTTCGACGAGAGCGAGATGTCACACTGAATAGAACGGCAAAAACCTGTTCATATTTATTCTGTGTGAGCTAATATTCCTTTCTGGGATTCAGGGTTCATTAGCATAACTTAAACACGCGCACGTGGAAGTACATTCGTCATCCGGGCACTTGATTAGGCGGCCAAGGGTCGCGACGCGGCTGCGGCGCGTCACGACCGCGGCGATCAGCTGTTTCCAGCCTGGTTTAGCCATTTTCTCCCTAATTTTCACTGTATTTTCTATTTTTTCAAGGTAGGTTGTTTTATTGCCTTTATGAAATGCGTTAGGATGTGGACTCTTTTTTTTGCTTTTGCGAAATCGTGTTTTTTCGATTTTTTTTTGTCCGCATAACTGTTTAATGTACGCAAAAATTAGAGGAATCTCAATCATCATTCACCTTGTGAAGACAAGGAACAACTAATCTCGGAAAAGCAGCCAAAACAGTGTAAATTAGGGAGAAAATGGCTAAAATAGACCGTTTTAATTAAATGGAAATAGCTGATCGCGGCGCTCGTGACACGCCGCAGCTGTGTCGCGACGGCCGCCTAATCAAGTGCTCGGATGACGACTGTACTAGCTTGTAAGAGAACCAAAGGAATGCTCAAGAAAAAAAAATGAAAATGACTTACTTGTTCACGCTTGCAACTTTCGTAGGAGTACTATGAGCTGGAGGAGGTGTTGCTTCTTTAGGAATGGTTCTGTAAGATTCATCAACATGACTCAGATCTGAATTGGAGATACATTTCATTTGCCTTTAAAGCCGTGAAAAAGGCTAATGGCGTTGCCACAGCTTAGCAGAAGCCAGTTCGGTTCATCAGGCTGCGTTCATATTTTACGGGTGTCCACCAGTGCCTAGCAGCGACCACTAGGGTTCTGAGCGTCCGGCATCATCAGCGACTAGAGAAGAATAGATGTCGAACTAGTACCTGGCAACGGGTCGAGGGCCAGGGAAGTGTAGGAGTCTATCTGGCGTCTGCCAGCGTCTACCGCGTCCACCAGCGACCGGGAGTAGAGAGTATGGGGAAGTAGGAGGGTAGCAAACAGCTGGATTAGGCGTCGTGAAATTGCGGCGTGTGCAACCGCACCGTACAACTACACTACACCGTACATTAAATTGCATAATTCTGTGCTTTAGCAGTTGTGCGGTGCAGTTGCACACGCCGCAATTTCACGACGACGCTGCTTACTGCCCTCCTACTTCCAGAACTCTCTCCTCCCGGTCGCTGGTGGACTCTGGTAGACGCTGGCAGATACTAGATTGAAACCAACACTTCCCTAACCTTCGAAACGCCATTAGTCGCTGGCAGACGCAAGATCGATATCTATACTTTCCCAGACGCTGGTGCTGCCAAACGCTCGTAACGCTACTGATCGCTGGTGGACGCTGCCGCAAAGTATGAACGCAGCCTCATGATTTTTCTAGTATTTCCACGCAACCATGAATTCACGGCAATGCCTTAACAGCGACAGCGTCTTGTAACCTAAGCATGCCAGCTTAAATGAGGTTCTAGACTGATGTTTTGAAGCTCCTACAGGTTAGAAAACAGGACCGCTAAAATGGCAAGCGACTCTAGTGGGCACGACGATGACTGGACTAGAGCGCTCATGTGAACCCAAAATCTTAGCAACTTACGGGTTAGTAAGAGAATCCTTGTTGTTAAAAGTGTGCATAACAGAGTGATCACTCGAACCTTCTCGACGACTCTGCAACATGTCGTAGGTAACAAGAGGGAATAACACGATTCTAAATCTGTTGAACAAACAAACCTTCGTTTAACAAACTGAAATTGTTACTTTAACATAGTTACTTCAAAAACGACGACGCTGAAAAACCAGAAATCTGGCAAACATCGACAACGACTTAAGTCATGTCAACCCGTAAATGGCTATGGGAACTCGGAAATAACAACCGTCCTTCGTACTGTTCACCGGCAACCATTTGAAGATTGATCAATTCAGTATACTTTTTCTGGAACCAGCCTACCCGTTACCTGCCCAAATCCTCATCCTATAGACCGTCATCTTGTAGAGCAGCTCACGCGGCATGTAGACTTTATTCGGTCGAAGGCGGAGCCACACCCCACCAAAAGCGGAAACGAGTGTTCTACGGAGCTCTCTATTGACTCGAGGAGATCCGGGAATGAAACGCTGACTCTCACCAGGGAAGCACACCAACTTACCATGGAACTTTGAATGGAGACCTGGGTAGATCGATAGAGTCTATAAGGTTATTTACAAATATAGATAGCAAAACTGCAACCTGCATTTCACAAGCAACTTATGAGCAGGTAAAGTTTGTAATGGTGCAGTAGGGTGGAGGCTTGGTGGTGAGCTGTGAAGCATAAGCGAGGAATCGCATACGTCGTGGTGGTTCAGTGGTAAGGTTCGACGTTCGACGACTCGATTCGACGTATGCGATTCCTTGCTTCACAGCTCACCACCAAGCCTCCACCCTACTGCACCATTACAAACTTTACCTGCTCATAAGTTGCTTGTGAAATGCACCTATACTTGTAACTAACCTTATAGACTCCATCCATCTACCCAAGTCTCTATACGAAGTTCCATGGTAAGTTGGCGGATTTCCCTGGTCAGCTAGGCCCAAGATGCAACCATACGGTGAATCGAAGAACAGCCGTCATTTCCAGCCCATCAGGGATACACACGACAGTATAAACAATAGTATACGCCATTTACTAGTCTGCGGTTCATGAAAGTTCATCACCATTTGATTGTTTGCTCATTAGATACACAATCTCAAGAAATTTCCGTAGACCTGCCTTTCTATCATCAACGATAATGAAATCCTCATTATCCATCCAATCTGGTCTTTTGCGGAGTCTAGAAGACTTCATACGAACATTTGCCATAGGAAGCGGTGAACTGCTACTCTAAAAGTCAAAAGTTACACACATTCACTGATCACATCACATATAGCATTCGCGCAATATTCGGCATAGGGAAACCAACACAGCTGGGAGAGCTTTCAAGGAAAATCAAGCGGAACTAGGGTAGATCACGGGCGATTTACACCAAGAAATGAAATAATTCTTACCTCATGAGAAGACATATCCACGTCAAACAGCATGCGATTCATAACCTGAGTTTTTTGAGTATAATAATCATGATACAAAAATAAAAAACTACAGAAACACGTAATATTTGAAGCTCATTTTTGTTTCTGCAGAGCACGGAACCCATTTAGTTTCGTGCTTTGCAGAAATCTTTTCCCAAAAATTATAGTTAATATTTTCAACTGGACCATGGTGGAGAGCTTCACCTTCAGTTGATCCAAACCCACGAAGGAGAATTTTCCACCACAAGAGCCACCTATGCTTCCATACACTCTATATACCGGTGACTGGGAGGGCGTGGCTGCATCTCATTTGAACCTAGCGGCGGCTACGCGTTCGGCGAGACTTTTCTATTTTAGAACACCTGCCATTATGTCTTTGTCCAGCACAGGACACAATGACACCTGTTTCTAACGAAAAGACCACACGAAAAAGGAATTCTTCATACCCAAGTGAACTACGCAGCCACGCCCTCCCCATTTCCGGTACATGGAGTAACCACAAATTGAAACACTATGGAAAACATAAATTGTTGCGTACTTTTGTAACAACTTTCATGATCAAGTCATCAGAAACCGCTGTTGGAGTAGGAGGTTTCGAAGGAGGTTCGGTTGATGGACACAAAGATGTGGATGAGCGGCGGCTTCGAGAGATCTGATACTTATATACTTACTAGTAAGACGCTTTAAGTTTTCTTCAACAGTATAATGTATTCCACTTACCCCGTCTGAACCAGTTAGCACAACGTCATCATCTCTATAACGAGCAGGAATTTTGCGCTTCCTTCGCTCCTGAAAAACGCGATCATGCTCAGATGCGTTGGACGTACTACCCTTTGGCAGTTCAGTTCGGCCATCGGAATTGTTGCAGGACTGCACCGCCACCGGAAAAAACAGTAAATTCGTCAGAAAAAGATTTTATAAAGTCGACTTGGAGTTTAGTTAGATATACAATATAGAACTAAAGACAGTCTCGTCAGTGATACTCACCCTCAGACTCATTGAGCTGTGCCTTTCTTCTACATTATCTGGAGGGACTGGAGGAGTACCGGTTCGACATTTCTTAGTTTTGACCTGTTTCTGCTCGTTTTTGTTCTCCTTCTGGGTATTTTCGGACGAGGGAGCTGTAGAAATGCATGCAAGATCCTCATGCTCCTCCTCGAGCTCTTTCATCTCCTCATCTTTCTCAAGGGTTTCATCAATCGGCAGAACACTGCAGTTGCCAGCATTTTGGACATCAGTCTGAATCGTTCATTATTGGAGGTGAACTGAAGGCCACACAAAGCACCACTCACCCCATCGAGTTCACGTTGATCACGAATGGCGCCACTACATTCTGGACTTAGACTGCGAGAACGCAGACCATCACCGGGCAAGTTCTAAAGTATAGTGACATCATAGTAAAACATTTGAGATAAAACAATGGTAAACCAGCGACAAAGGCGGAGCTATCGATTCAGAGCAGAAATCAAGCGTATCGGCGGAACATTCGGAAACTGGGCGGAGTTTTCTCGGGCCTACAACGAAATCGTGGGATCTCAGCAAAGTGGAAGGAAGAGGGTGGCCGTATGCGGAAATTTTCCTCAGTGTCATGGCGTGCTATAATTAATCCCGCTTCAAAAATTAGAAGTAAACAAGATACGAAATAAGGCCCCGTAACACCCAGCAATGACTTGTTTATTGAACGCATTATAAAATGGGGAATGTTTGGTAACAGTGTAAAACTCCGGATGTTTATTTCAAAAAGCTCAAAAGACACCAAAGTCTCAAAATCTTTTCAAAATTAATTATTCTGCAATATTTCGCTGCCTAGCATCTTCGACAGGCCTAGAATTTTTAACTTATTGCTTAGCTAGACAGTCTACCAACCATACAAATCTGACTTACACGAACTGCTCCCTCAATCATAGCCAACCCACCCTGAATATACCCTTGAACAATGGGATACTTGTGATACGATGATGTTTGTTTATTTGTTTACTAGCACTTACGTGCACCATCGACAGCAAAAAAACATGAATATTAAGAGCATACCAACTCAAAGGCAAATCAAACCGCTCGAAGGCAAATCAAACCGCCCAAAGGCAAATCAAACCGAAACAAAAGAAAACATAAAGCCATTAAGTATACCAACTAAATGGCACTGTCTACCATTTAGTTGGTTACCATTACCCGAAATAAACACAGGGATGTGGTTCTTCCCTGCGTTTATTTCGGGTAGTGCCTTTTAATTTCCAGGGCCTCCAATATTTTCCTTTCCATTGTGTTCTCTACTGAGCGGTGTAGTAATTGATGATTAAAGAGGGGAGAGGGGTTCTTGGTGAGTGTGTTCCTTTGTGCGGTGCATAGAGAAACTGCTATAGGGCAAGAAGGTGGATTTTTCAGTGACACAAAGTATCCCATCATTTAAGGGTATGGTCAGGCTGGTTGGCTATTCCGTGACTGCAGAGTAAGTGGACTGATTGCGGCAGCAGTCCGTGTAAGATAGATTTGTTTGGCTGGTACTGTCTAACTGAGCAACAAGATAAAAATTTCAGGCTTGACGAAGGTGAACCGAAATATTGCAAGCTGATTAATTTTGAATAACTTTTCAGACTGTTGTAGCCTTTTGAGTTTTTTTTTTCAAATAACCCTTGAAGTTTCACGTTGTTACCAAACATCCAGATAAAGTGAGACTCTCAGCACAGTACTCCGAAAAAAAATGGAGGGCGGAACGACTTTGACTAGGCGAAGGAACACCTACCAATTTCAGCTTTTTAGCTTTCCTTCTTGCTATAGATTCATCGGCCTCTTTCTTTCGATATGCAATATGCTCCGATTTTATATGACCGTGTTTCTTCTTGATATGAGAATAAAAGAATTTCCACCTCAAAATGCAGCTTTGAAATTTTCTACGAGAGCTGGGGCTATTTGAAATCGCTCACGTCGTAAATTTCTTTGGACACATAAGGCATGGTATAGCCTTTCCACTCTTCTCTCTTTTGTGATGTTTGACAGACATGTGATATGCCAATGCGTGCATACTTCCAAATGGAGCAACGTCAGCACACGAAGCGTAGAGGCAGCGCCCAAGTGTGGGTTCCGCTCCGCCCGGCAAGTACTTCATTAGCCGCTCAACACACTCCGCCTGCAAAAAACAACTTAAATAGTACGGAAAGCTTTTCTGAGCATAAGCGATGAGAATGAAGAACATGCCGTTACATGGAATGTCAACCATTACACCTTCTCCATGTGCAGATAAATAGTTTAACTCGGCCATTTCTCATAGTCATTTCGCACTTTGCGGCAGCGTCCATCAGCGTTCATCAGCGTTCACCAGCGACCAGCACTAAAGGGTATGGGGAAGCAGGAGGGTAGCAAATAGCTGGATTATACGCCTGAAACTGCGGCTTGTGCAACCGTACGGTACAACAAAATACCCCATATATTAAACTGCATAATTCTGTGCTTTAGCAGTTGTGCGGTGCGGTTGCACACGCCGCAATTTCACGACGCCTAATCCAGCTGTTTGCTACCCTCCTACTTCCCCATACTCTCTATTCTCGGTCGCTGGTGAAGGCTTGCAACGCCAGCGACGCTAGATCGATACCTGCACTTCCCTAAAACTCGAGACATGGGTGGGCAGACGCTGGGAGATGCTAGATCGACATCTACACTTCTCTAGTCGCTCACGCCGAACGCTCTGAACGCTAGTGGTCGCTGGTGGGCGCTGTTGCGAAGTGTAAACGCAGCCGCACAATTATATTCCATATCTCAATTCTTGAAATACTGAGTTAAAATCTCTACTGGTGTTGCTGAGATTTGAAAAGCAATAGCGTTGCATTATCCTTCGTTACTGATCTAGAAGTCAGTTGGGAGATCCAAGCTGCGGCGAGGCGTACAAGCCGCAACACCACTTTCAAAGGGTATAGTCTAGGATATGCGAGTAGCGGCATCGGGCGCAACATTTCTAGCTAATTGACCACATTATGGTTTCAAATTAATCAGGTCACGGCAACCCACATCCTACATCTTGTGTTCCACAGTTTATCTCGCGAAACTCGCTGATTGATAAGCGTTGCATTACAGCGCGTTGCTGCGCGCTCACGCGAGTTATCGCGAAGTCTGAACGCTGCCTAAACTTTTCCAGTAATTTTAGAGTTTTGAGCATAGCCGTCTGGTCGCATGCACCACTTCATGGTTTCAAGTAGAAAATGGGTTGCATTCGCTCAGGGATTCGTGACACATGAAACAGAAGAAAATACTCCGCGGATTGTCGATTTTCGACATACAGTCGTGTGATAAACGTACAGAGCGTAGACTGCCATGATCTAATTGACTTGACGTCAAAGTCGAGATAACCAGCTTCGAATCCTTGCTGGTATGCGCGCAGTGGGTCTACGGACAACTACAACTCAATTCCTTTAATGGCGCCAACTTTCTGATTTTCTCTGCGCTCTCTTTCCTGAATGGCGATTTATGGCTTTTTTACCTTTCACATTCCAACTTTTCACGCATACTAAGTGGCTCATCCACCCCGTGTCCCCTCCCCTCGAAAAACTCATCTCCTGGCTCGCATCGTGTTTTTTGTACCTCACGATGCCTTGGCAGTAGCAGTCCCTTATTGCTCTGCGCTCTGGCCTATCGTGGCAGGACCCCCACCAAAAGTTTTAGTTGTCACGTAATCGCGCGCAGTAAGTATGAGATATGTGCAAATTATCCTAACAAAGGTTCGGAGAATGTGAGAAGGAACATGTCCTGATCAGAATTTGGAAAGATAGCCAAGCAAATCTCGAGCTGCGACAGTAGGTTGGTATTGAGACTCCGTTAGGGCCGTGTCCACTAGTTAGCTTGAAATGGTGAATCGAAAGATGTTAGTCAAAGAGAACACAATAAGCAGGTTCCACAACGAATTGCTAATAAATACCTCATCTTTCGATATCACCCTCGTTGCATCTTCTTTCAAGCGTAAGCGAAGGCTCATTCCACGATACCTGAAGAGTTCAGACCCCGTAGTTAAGTCCACAAATCACAGCAAAATATTTCAAAAGACAACGAAAGCACCTGCTCGGATTGTCCTGCGGTCGCAGTAGCAGTACTCGATCAGGATCTAGTTCTGTGGTGCTGCTGCTCAGTGATGGAGCGTGAATCTTCAAATATAATCGATGGAATGCATCATTGCACAGCCAAAAAGAACACTGCTCTAAAAAGAATATAGGGTGCAGTACGACTAACCTGTGTTGTCCCATCGGCTCCTATGACTGCTACAACTTCTCTCCGAATTGCGGGTAAAGTATGGACGTAGCTGGGCTTTGCAATCTAAACATTCAACTATAATGAAATATGCACCGCGTGTGCTCACAAACAGTCTGAAGACGAAAAAGCTATTTTAGTTTTGGTAAGGCAATAGCTCGGTATGCGGGAGATGCGGGTTCTCCCGTCCCGGGTCCGACTTTTGCCAATATCTCAGCATTCTTGTGATAACTTTCGGAGCGCACACTGCGGCGTTGAACAGCAGTTATCAAAACTAAAACAGCCTCAGAACACGTGAACCTTCAGCCTCACGGCTTGCTGCCGACATTCTTGCGATACAAGAAGCGTTCAAATGGATCCGTTGTACATCAAAAAAAGCGTTAATTCACTCTGTTCGAACATTCGACTCACATCGTCAGGACCTGGAATTTCGACCACATCCACTCTTTTCATTACATGTTTCGCCAAGTTTGTTCGCCTTAAGCTGGCTCCTCTTTTTGGAATCAAGGCGTCATCTGGAAGCAAATTTTCATTGGGTACTGGAATCAGAGAGAACGAGGATTTTACTCATTACCCCGTGCATTGTTGCTTCCACTGCTATGCTTTTCATGGGCTTCGGATCTGCAGAATCCTCTCTTATGCGAGCAGAAGTTGACGAAACTACGAAAGACGCTTCTGCAGACCCTGAAAGAGACTGTGACATGCAAAATGGAATAAAAAGGCTGTAGTCAGACTTTGCGAATTCGCGCAACTGCTGCAGTCGCGCTCCAATACTACCCAACTCCTACACCTACTTACTTTATTATTCGAAGGCGCACGGGATGAGGCAAGATTCTGACAGTCATTCGAATCAGGAGGCGCTTATTGACACACTTATGAAGAAGAAAGCGAGAAAGTGAACCGAAAACGCCTAAATGAGATCCTCACACCCCTAACGTCGTAGGAGTTTGCTTCGTCCCATGAACGTCTCAGTGAAGATTTTGAAGGGTAGACAGTTTTGAAATGTACCTCAACTGTTGGAACCTATCTACTTCTCCGCTTTTTGACGTCATTTCAACGCTGTTTCGCAAAACAAGGTTAGAATGATTTAAATTTTTTTAAAACATAGATTAGCCTACCGTGCATGTGAGCACTTCACGTCAGTAAAATGCAAACATCTAAGTGATCGTACGCCTTGCCTTTAAACCTTCTTCTAACACTAGTTCCATCCTACTATTTGTAATCCGCTAAGTATGAATGTGTGTCCGTGCGTCTGTGTGTCACGAAATTCATAGCGCCGGTCCCAGTAGCAGTGAGACATTGGTTCCAAGAAGTGATGTAGGGGTGTGACGGGAACACTATTGGTGGGTGACAGGAAGTGATATCAGTTGATAAGATCCGATAAGAGGCGTTAGAAGGAGAAGGTTACCATATTCATAACGCGGGTGACAGCATCAGCTAGCTCTTGATTCCAAGATATGATGTAGAGTAGGCCAAGAACATTATTTTTGGGTGACAAGAACTGCGAGCTGCTGATAAGATTCGATAAGGGGCTTCAGAAGGGGAAGGTCACCACCATATAACGCGGGTGACAGCCTCAGCGAGGCGTTCATTTCAGCAAAGATATCTAGAGTGAGGTGGGGACAACAATCGCGGGTGGCTGGAAGCGATAATAAATGATAGGGGCTGATAAGAGACGTTCAGTCGTCGTCGCTGTTTAAGGCGGTGCAGCTTTTACATTACCAAATTAGGTTTAGAGATAAGGACATTGATGACGAGTGGCAGGTAATCATATCATTCGATAAGAATGGATAAGATACCATCTGCGCTACATTTTTATCACTCCTTACCGCTTTAATGCCGAGTATTAGAGGCTCAGTGTGTGAAGACTTTCCTTCGATATGTTCGATGTAGATAGAGCGTTGTTAAATGCGTGAAATGGTGTCGAGGGGGGGGGGTGACATTCTCTTCGTGTGACACGTACTTTGACATTTACAAGGCAATGTGAAGTTCTGCTTCTCAGTGCCACCCAGATCCTGCAGTTATGCCTCTCCCATGTTAAGGACTCATCCGGACTAATTCAACTTTACCCATTCTGATGTCACAACTGCCATCCTTGATGATATGGCTCAGCCTTCTCACGGTTGAAAGTCTGTAGTAACCAAGAGGGACCATATGTTGGTAGATAATGACTGATGTTCGGCTTTTTCAACTCATTTTCCTACATTTTATTAAAAAAATAACCGCCACCGTTTGGCACATTTAGCGCATTCTACCACGCCCGAGGGAGGAGTGCCTGGCGAAGCCAGGTCGGCCCGGCGAATTAGAAGCAAAGAAAAACAAACATTGGGAAAGGAATACACTCCACAGCACAGATGATCCGATTCAAGCCGGGCCATGAAACAGAAGGAGGAGCACCCGGGGGCAGCCGGGTGATCCGACTGGTTTTTTTATATCAGAGTATTTCAACCTATGGGTGAAAGTCGGTAAGTTGTTGTGGTCCTTTCTACTTCTCTTTCGTTGTTTTGACTCGAATGAGCGCCTTAGGAGCTTTCTATCTGCTAATTCCCCAACTACCAAAACGCTAATAGGAGATTAAACAGCGAAAAGGAGAAGCAGAAAAGCTCGCCAAACAACCATAACTCTCTTTGAAATTAAACTCAAACTCTGATTTGAAGAAACTACGGTGCTAAAAAAGGGACTGGATAATAAATAAATGGTCAGTGGAAACAGGTCAAGAAAAGTTGGGTTGGGTGCCATAACAGTGCAACTAGATCGGTACTCGTCGACGCAGTCTCTGAACGCAGCCGCATTGGGCAGTCAATGCCTAAGAGAGCGTTCATACTACGCGATCGCGGAGTGTGAACGCGCTCTAAAAAAGCGAAGAAGGTACCTGCATTCAAGCATAACCGAACATTCCTTCTCAAACAATTTCTTTGTCTCTTCCGGGCATGTTTTCAGATACGCTTGCAAGTCCACCACACCTGAACAATGAGAATTAGGAATTTATTAATGTCTCATAAAATGAACACAACACACGCTGGGCGCTGTATATTCTTCATTGGGGAGGCGAAGGCAGGGTGAAGTGTATTAAAAAAGTTCTTGCATTTCTTGGTTTTACCATTTCTGGTGCGCTATATACTGCCACTAGATAACAGAGTCGACTACCATTGCAACAGTGAAGTAGGTGATGGAGAGGGGGCCATATTTGAGCAACATTTTCCTCAACGTCGAAGTGCGTTGGATATGTAAACCAAATTGTCAGCTATGACTTATTGAAAATTGATCTAGCAGAAAAATGAAAGGAAATCATCAGTACCGAACAGAAAATGATGTTTTTCCGGAGGAATGTGGCTGCCACGTACCAGCAAATACACCCAAACCACACTACTCGAAAATTAGGAGATTTTTATTTTTCATAAAATGTGTTGCTTAATCCAATATTAACCCTGTTGTTAACACAACTATACATAGAATTCAGAAGAACACTTGATGGGTCCTTGTGTGAGACAATAATTCACGCCTGCGGAAAAAGAGGAGTCGCAAATGATGTCACGTGCGCCGCATTCAAACCAGCCCTGATTTAACGTGGTAATCGGTCCTAGTTCGAATGCGGCGGATGCGCAGTACGTCGAGTGAACAAGCTAGGAAATTCTCCGCTGGTTCCTGCGCGTCGTGGATATAACCTCCCACAGACAGCAGTCCC